CCCCAAAGCAATGCATACAAAGAACACAAAAATCTTACACAACATTCCAAATTGATGAAAAAAGAAACTCTTAGCAGTGGTAGAACAAAATTTTGCTTACATGCTTTCAAACTGCTAAATTAATCTATCAGAGCAAGTGGTTGAAGAATAGATTACATAGAAAAAACTGCCATAATTTCAAGGACTCCACTTTCACTTTTCAAAAGAAAGAAATGTTACAGCCCTAAAGATGAAAGCATTAGTAAGCATGTAACATGTTGCTCACACCATGTGAAAAGGAGTGGAAGCCTCTCTCCATTCATTTCTTTTCAAAGGTGATAAAGAACTTAATTTACTTTCAGCCTGTGGCTTTGACCACAAACTAAAAATCAGATTCAAACAGCCAGCTGATTCCTGCAAAGCTTAGGGCTGAAGATAAAAGCATCACATAATCTTGATTTGCTAGGCAAAGATTATTGCTAACACTCTGTACAAAGGTACACAAAAGTTTGCTCACATAACTTGAAATAGCAGGATATTAAGAAAAATGGCCAAAGCCTTTCTTGACTATCAAAAGGCTCTAAATTTCTCAGCTCAGTCACCACACTTGCACAGAAAAAGCACTAAAAGAGTTCTGATACTGGAACAGTGGGGTTATCACATTCAGCTGGATGGGAGAACCAGATTGTCACAGGGGATGCAGACAAAAAGACAAGAAGCCAAACGTGCTTCTCTATTTTCCCGATCACTATATCCTCTGTTAAAATCCTGATCTGGTAATTTCAGAATACAGCTACAAGGATCCTTCTCAGCCCTCATTGCACAGGAAGAGTTCCAAGCAATTAAAGCAGGAAATAAAACGAGCACGTAAACCACTGCAAGGATTGTCAGAAGCTCTTTTGTTTAACCACTGTTCATTTAATGGTGCTGCAAGAGAGCAGCACAGGGCTTTATTCTCCAAAAGGCAGGTGAATACTGCAAGTGTGGATTTGTGTTTAATTCAACTGCCAGGTGAAGCATCACACAGTCAGCGAGACTGATATATCAGCATCAAACCAATGCTGGGATAAAACTTCTCAAGCCCTGTTTTTATAGTCTATATGTAAGAAGTAACAGATCATACAAAGAACATTTCCTTGCATGTAACTGTGTTATAATTAAATCAAACACAAACTGCCTCACAATCTATACAACAAGCAAAAGCACTCAATTCTGACTGACAAATATTCAAGGCTGCAGGTCAAAATAGGTGAAACTGTTAGCCAGGGTGTGGAGAATCTACACAAAAGTCTTCTATGAACAGGAAATCCATTAGTAAGAAAAATGAGAAACCTTTTTTATGAGTCTAAGAACCTTAGGTCATCTGGAAGTGAACCCCAGCAAACTGTTGGAAGGAAGAATGAAAATTTAGCTACAATAAACTGGCCAAGAATTGACTGTTATTAGCCCATCTTGTAAGGAATATAAACGATGAGCAAAGTAAGTTGAGGGTAACTTGATACTTTCTGAATTTTTTGAAAGGACCAAAAATAGTCAACACTGAAAGCTGCATTTTCTATTTTTTAACGCAGTACTGTTTGTCCTTTAAAAGATAAAAGCTTATTGTGTCAGGGCTGTGTGCATATCTGAGCAGCATTCTTTTTCTTCTCAGCTTTTCCTCATCATTTTATATAATCTGTGTGCATACCCTTAATGAAAGATAAATCTGATCCTGTCATTAGGCCTGCTCTAATATACTCTAAATACACTGAAAATTAAAGGCCTAGATAACAGATCACAGACCAATTATCTATCTATATAAGTAGCAATTAGTGCAATGAATAATAGTATTTATGCTCTAGTATTTAGCACTGAAATTTGCCTTAACATTCTAGTCTGGGCATTACACACTGAGAGGAGAGGGCCAGCAGTTTACCAGGAAGCTGGGGTGAGCCCACATGTGACCAAAATTGTAGGCTAAATAAGAATTTGCAACTAAGTCTCTTTTTAACTGTATCTGCTTAGCTCATGTACTTGCCAGCAGCACCCTGAAAAATGTCAGAGACAGCAGAATCAAGGAAAATTACAGTAAATCAATATACCCTCTTAGGGGCTATAACATATTAGTTTACAACATCAACAACAGACAAAAGCTTTACAGAATGTATTGCATTATATAAAAGTGTCAGTATTTAAAGATAGAAGAGAGTTCTACACTATTTTTCTCTGTAGTAGATTTATTTGAAGAACTTTGCAATAAATTCTAACATTCCTACAACAGTAAATATATAAACTGAACTTAGTGTCAATATTAAGTTATCAAAATGACTGCAAAGCCAAGTGTTATTTGCCACAGTGATGTTTTTAACACGTCATGCACACATTCACCATTCTGAATACCTACAGCTTCTTCTGCACACTCTTTGCAGTTATACCACAGATGACAGAAAAGTTACAAACTCAAAACTTCACGTTAAAAAAAATCCCAGTGTTAAAACCAAACAAAGAAAAAAAAGGAACATTCCCTAAAAGACCCAGTATCAAAAGCCCATACTATCAGATACACCCTCCTTATCTTTTTCAATGAGATTTCTTTTCTTGTTAACTCTTCAGGAGTTACACGGCATGTTTGACTAGAACAAATTAAACAAAGATTTAATGTTTCATTGGGGAAGTGCTGTTAACTTTGTTGTGAAGTGTCCCAGCTGCAGGATCACATGAAAAAGCTTGTTAAAAAGAAAAGGTAAATATTTATAACTGTGTACATTATTAGCCCCTTTCTGAGGCCCACTGAGATGCAGAATTCTTTTATTCCTAATGGAACCACAGTCTAGAAGACAAGGTAATTGATGATTAAATTATATCAGCTTGAATGTTTGGTCCTTACACGAAAACACAAATGGCTTAAAGTATTCAACCCTACTTCAAGATCTCCCCAACATCCAAAAGGGAAGAGTAATTCTTGAATTCAGCTTGTAAATGCCTGAAGCCAAATGAATTTCATCAAGGGAATAAAAAGAAACAGAGCCTCTAAAGTCTGTGTCAGACTTCACAGAGGCTCAAAGAAACCACTATCAATCTATCAAGACTCCAAACCCCACACCACGCTCAGTAGCTGCACTGACAACAAAACCAGTCTGAACAAAGACACTGAGCATTAAAGGCCACATCATTCCTTTATCATTGCTCTTCTAGCATGAGTATTGCAAACATTAAAAGGTTGTGTTGAGCAGGGAAATTAACTCCTGGCCAGATAAAACAAAACAACTCTATCATTCATCATCCTTACTCATACGCTGTAAGGATTAAAAGAAATATGACCCCGCAAAAAAGGGAATTGTAATAAAATTTGATTTTATAAGACATCAAAACACCTTCTCTCTGAAGATTTTCTTTCAATAGACTCAAAAGATGTGTCAAGCATCTGATGAGTTCCAACATCACTGACTAGGATTACTGCAAGTTCTCTTGAGCATCCTGTGTGTTATCAAATTTATCTCATTTGTCTTCTCTATTCTTGTCTATTAGGCTTTACATGGTTAAATAGACATGCATGTTTAGATTTGCTGAAAACCCTAATCCACAGTATTAGCAAACCAAACTTTTCTTGTTTGTCAGTTCCCCACAGATTTATTCAGATATTTATTACACAGAAAACACTGAACTTAACCCCTCTTAGCAGAACTAGGCTGTGAGTCAGACTAGAATGGGAACTGCTCGTGGAACCAGGCCAGCAGCAGGAACAGCTGCACTTTCATCAGTGCAGGCAAAGAAACCTATGCTTTCTTATTGGCTATAAAAAGGAGACTTACCAGAGGATTCTGCAGGGCACCTTCATTCCCTGCAATACTGATGCTCACTTTGGAGATTTCAGATCTCTAACTATATTGATTTTTGTGCATATGACATTGTCTCACTGTCTCGTTCACAGGGAAAGAACAAACCAACATAAAATACCTACCTATAACTGTGTAAACTCTGTTTAAAGCCGATTAAAATGTTACAATCTAATTAATTTTTATTTGGAATGTAAACTCCCTGTTTTTTTATAAACAGAGATTAACAAAACCTAGCGGTAAGTTTTACGTTCATTCAATTTACGCAAACAAACAATTGCTTCATAGCAATAGAACCAGGAAGAATGTTTCATCTGATTTTATAAATTTCAGACTGGAACTTCCAGGTTGAGTTGGAAAACCTAACAGATGTTATCTGTATTCATATTTGATTCTTGACCAAAAGCGATATAGACTTTTCTATGTCTAAGGCACAAATAAAATATTTTAAATTAAAATACTAGCTGAAAATACAAAGTTTGACAAGTGAACAATAACCGTGTATTAAAATGTGTCTGATGTATAAAAATTAATTATTTACTACTAATACAGAGTTTGAGTCTTGTTTTGCAAAAAGCAATTTCCCAAGCAAAATGTTAAAGTTCATTAAGTTTGAAGTACAAGCTCTTATAAAAGTATTTATTGGTCCAGTATGAGATATTGCTCTTTAAAAACTGTCCCAAGGCTAAGGAGGCCAGAGGAAAGAAACCCATGCCCAACTGCTATTCCAAAGCTTATTTCAAATGAAGCTGCTTACAAAGAAAATATAAAAACAACTCATAAACTGAACTTTTGTGGAGAATCACTCAGGTGAGCTCAAGGGGGTTTTCTAATTAGACATTGAATGGCTACTTACTTAATACAATTTTAAGACTTGATCATAACTCTTAAAGCTCACTTGAATAACAAATATTGCACAAAGCAAAGTACGAAACCAGAAAACACAACAGGAATCCACTTTATCAACACTAATTTTTTTGCCCAGGATTCTTTTATAGATCACAGATATGACCTGAATAGTAGCAGCAGTGGAACCAGCTGTACTTAAGAGATTAGTGGCAAAATAAAATACAACAAAAACCAATAGACTGCTAACAGTTAAAACACTATTTGTTCATATATATGACAAAGAGAGACCAACATACAATTTAATTTGGTGTTATCATCACTGAGGAGGATCTCTATTTGGAGCATGAAAGAAAAAAGTTTTTGTGAAGTTCCAATTCTTTGGCATCAGTATTTTTGTTTCCATGAAACATCTGCAACCTTCTCACTTCCTACCACAAATGAGATAAGCAGATCGATTCAGAGCCAAAAATAAGAAGCACTTGTGTGAGGTTTTTCCTGAGAACAAATTTTCCCTGAGGTTCACCAGCAGATCTGCATGCACAGAACAGGAAAAAATTATCAATTTATTATAAAACTGTAAATAAAATTACCAGTGACTTTAGACGTAAACAAAACTAAGTCAACCCTTGAACACACAATAAGTGCTTAGTTCTCAGCTTCTCTTAACAGAAATCTCATTAAATGGCAAAGATAAGCTAATTCACAATTCTTATCAATGTCTGCACAAAGAAATGGAGACTCTATAATCTGCACAAAAGCTTCTCCTCACCAAGCAGGGTAATACAGTTCCATCACAAAGGAACAAAAGCCAAATTTTTTTTTCAAGGACAGGACTTATTTCTTCCCTTCTGCCTGAGAACAGAAACAATGCCCAGTGTTAGGTTTATGAACAGCACCATGCCTTGAGCTCAAACAAAGACTGGAGTCAGCAGACACTTCTAAAGTGTCTACTAAACTGGCAAAACAACCCTGGAAACAGTTTCTCTTCTGTCCTAAAAACAGAGATTAATGTAAATGTCAAAGAATATACAAATAATTAAATTAATGAATAATTTAGCTTTCAGGGTCATATTTTTGCTACCTTCATACTGCACAGGTGCAATTTAAGTCAATTAATAAAGACATAGTTGCTACTATTATGTCAATGCATTCATCTATGCCTGGATATTTAAATATCTAAATGTCTTCAGTCACTGCAGTAATGATAAAACTCATTTACAAGCTTTCCTCTAAAACAGTGATTATAATTTATTCATTTGTTCTCTGATCTTCTGGTGCTGTCCAGAACACTTGACATCAGTTCTGATTTGATTCTCTCATTTCCTTCTAAAAGTCTTTACTAAGGCTCCATTTTAAAACATTATTTTTATGATAATAAAATGCTTGTAAATACACTAAATATTGAATGTTGTGATTTTAGCAACTAATAAACCTGTTTCAATTACTAGGCATTCCATTTGTGAGATGGTATTTCCTTGCTCTGGGGCATTATAAAAGCTCCTTTACAATTAAACTGGATGATACAGTCATGAGAGCTGCTGCTAGTCCTCAGTGAACAGAGGACACAGCTACCAGACAAACATCAAAGAAACATTGCTAGACATGAAATCATTTCACTATCAGTGCATTTTTTCCAAGTAGCACCCCATGCTGACATTACACACTCTTGTCCAGTTTTGGCTTTCCTAGAGTTTAACACTTTGCTTGCATTAGTGAAGTTGCATTCTCTGAAAGCTGCAAAGAAGACAAATGTAGTTTTGTCATTTGTGTACTCATTTCATAATGACAAATGGTATTTTAAGAATGCAGAGAAACACAATTAGATGATTCTGAGCTGTATGCCCTTCAATGCAGAGAGAAGCAAATCTCCAGTTTAGCACCTGGGATATCTGGAAATCATAGAATCATGTACTGGCTTTGGTTAGAAGAGATCTTTAATTCCAACCCCACTGCCATGGGCAAGGATACCTTTCACTATACCAGGCTGTTTAAAGTCCCCTCCAACCTGCCCTTGAACCCCTGCAGACATGGGGCACCCACCACCTCTCTCAGCAACCTACTCCAGGTGTTATCACCACACTCTTTGTAAAAAATTCTTCTTATATCTAATCTAAATCAACTCTCCTTCAGTTTAAAACCATCACCCCTTGTTCCATCCCAAGAGGCTCCACCAAAAGAACTCTGCACAGGGAGACAGCCTTCCTGGAAACATGGAACTAGGCTTAAACCATTTGCAGAGTCTAACTCAGGTGTTTGTGCAGTCCTTCTGCACCTGTATGACCCTGAGTGGGATGAAATCAACCTACAGAGGCAGCAGCACCAACTTCCCATCACACATGGTAACAGAAAGGCATATAAGAAAACTAATGTATGTGAAAATTAGGTTTTTTAAATCATTATTGAGCTCAAAGCATGACAGCTGTATTTCCAAAGGATAGAGGAAGACAGACTTGAGCATCAATTAATCAATCTGACAAGTATTGCATTTCATAGAAGTCTTCAAGCTTCCTGAAATGTTTTCTCAAGTTTTAATCCCACAGACTCTACCCCCTCACTCCTTGTTGGATGTACCTTTTCCACTTAGTTGCTGTTTGTTTGGATTAACAAAGCACAACAAAATGTCTCGAGTTTGGGTCTAAATGCACACATAATTTAGTCTTCAGCAAAACTGGCTGCTGAATGCTGCAGGTCAGCATTTGTTTACTACTGTAACCTTTCTGTACTGTCTCTTCCTTCCTGAAAGACAATCTGCTCTGTGAACTGTTCCATCAAATCCCACAGGGGAAATTCAACAGGGATGGCAGGACCTACACAATCTATAACTGGGTTTTAATCCTGTTGTGCTAGCAGCTAACACACCCAAGTGATAAACACACACAGTGTATATCCAGCCAATTTCCACAAGACAGCTCACAGCCACTGCAAGGAGTTAGGACCAGCTGAATGAGTCCCTTAGAAGCAAAAACTTCACTGGAAATCTGTCCTGAATGGATTGCTGGGTGTTTGGACAATGAGCAGATAATGGAAGGTGCATTCTTGAAGTGCACTGAAAATCAGCTTCTTATTGTAACTCTTGTTAAGTATTTTTAGCATTAGCTGAATTGGCTGATACGTCAAACACCTACAAGAGTTTCAGAACACAGCATGACTCAGTAAATGTCAAGACAAAAATTTGCCAAGTATCAATCAATTAACTCATCAACTTATTTTGGCTACAAACAGCTGAGAATGTTTATGGTGGATTACTTCTCACACCTTATAACAAAAATCATTAGAGAAAGTCTTTCTACATAGACAGCTCATGAAGACGTGTCTGGACTGAAACGAAATCAGAAATTACACTTCAAAAATTCTTACACTCCCCAGAGTCCACCCTCAACAATGCCATCTGCTCCTGGAAATTTAAACACGTACATAGAATGTTTTGAATTTCTGTCTTGCTTTTACATTCATAAAAATCCAGACCAACTAAAAGGTTTTAAAACATGTTTTATTGGTAGAAATGTTTACTATATGTATAACAAAAAGTGAAAATATATATGATTCAACTCCATTAGCAAAGACAGTATTTTTTTTCTGGAAAGAAACACAGCATCATCCTGTTTTCCACGTACATAATAGATTCCATTAACACTAGAGCAATTTCAAATAGCAAAAAAATTAGAAGCTACACTTCCAAATTGACTAGGCCATCAGTCTTGAACCCTCTTCCCTCACTGCACTGTAACATGTATTTCTAACAGAACATTTGAAAATAACTTCTGACAGATTACTAGATTTAGGATTTGTGGGACATAACTGTAAGTTAAATAAAAAACTCAAAAGACACAGCTTAGAGGAAGAGCAAATTAAAAAGTTCTAAATCTGGTTTCAAAGGTAGTTTTTTCAATGTCCATGTTTCTTCCTTCAAAGAGCAGCATTTTTACCAGGCTTCAAACAGTACTATTTCACTACAAAAATACACTAACCACAGCACATCATTATTTGATGTGGAAATAAAATCACTGAGACTCTATATGACTTGCCCATTTATCTATTGTGGTTCCTGAAGAACAAAGTCTTGCTGAGGGATAAAGCATTTCGGTTCAGTCTCAAATAGTTCACCAGCTAGGTGGTCTTCACTGCTTCATTAGCTTCAGCTACTCAGCTTCCATGAATAGGAATTAAATAAAACTAAGTAAATGTCTATCATCATATCTACAAAAATCCACTGCCTTTCTTATAGCACAAAAGCTATGTTGGCTTATGACAGGCAGCATGGGCAACAAAAAATACCAGAGAAAAATAAAGAATTGCCCCTTCTAAAGACTCTTAAGAACTACCTTGACAGGCAGGACATTTACACTGTGCTGCAAGAAGGCAGGTGAGCTTGCTCAAGAAGTCAACTGCTAGGTGTAAAGTCACACATACCCATTCTCCAACACAGTAACACTTGGTTATATTACTTGGTTTCCCAAAGCCTCCAGTCAGGAATATATCCAAAATCTTTGAGTGCTTTGCAGCTGCCTAATCCTAGCCTTGGACAGCACCCCACTGTTATCCTCAAGTGCTCTGTAACAAACAGTAAGTAGCAGCAGCTTTCCCCTTAAGGCTAATAATTTTTCTAAGGAAAGGCTGTGCCACACCAAACCCAGGCACTTCTGACAGAAGAATTCTCTTGGCTTCTTCACTTCTATTCTGCTTTTGGACAAGAAATGCAGTGTACTGCATCTTCCCACTGCCTGCTTAGCTATTCTAATATTCAAGATATGAAATTAATGTGGCTAATACAATATTTGCTCTTACTCTTCACTTGTGACAGGAAATCGAAATCTCACATGGGTGAGCTGAATCATCTAAGCTGCTGATGCAATGCCTACCTAGATATTGATTTACACAACAGAAATTTGTCCATTAATACTCATCTTTGAGAGAAGTGATGATTCCATTTTCTCAGGCCAGAGAAGTGCCATCAGCCCTCTGGTGCCACTCTGCTCTTACCCAACAAGCCCACTGCAGAATTGGTCACTTAATTCCACATCCCTTTTGTCTGCATCTGGATTTATCTTTTGGCTCAATACTGTTATTATCCAATAAGCACATTACAGAATTGATCCGTTGATTCTATTCCCCTCTGCCTGCTTTTAGATGACTCTTTCCGTCAGTCACTTTTTCAGCACCCCACGTTTTTAAACATTAGTGTGAACACACAAGTGAACTCAGATGAAGAGCTCGCCAGGAGCTGCCATCTCTGTTTGATGAGGACACAGAAAGGCAAAACTATGGCTAATGAAGAAGTCAGGCAGAAGCAGCTCTGGCATCAACAAGAATCAGCTTATGGCAGGCAGTGAGACACACCTATGGGGCACTGCCAGGTTTGTTCTTCCTGGTTTCTTATCCTGCTTCCTCAGAAAAAGGACAGAGAAGAAAACAAAGATAGAACCACGCGTGTCACAAGAGAACAACTGATTCCTCCACAGCTACACCCTGGCTGCTTCACTGCCTTTATTTCTCCATATAAAAGGGAATTAACTTCAGAAAATAAAGTCTGAGGATAAGTAAGAATGCCTAACAGCTAACCATGCACTCTGGAGTTCTAACCATATTAGAAGCTCCACAGGCTAGAATTGTGCTTTTTGTTGGAAAACAGCACTTTTTTTTTTTTTTTTTGCTTTCTTCCTACCATAAAAAAGAGACAGCAACAAAGGAAGATGAAAAAAAGGAAGTTTTTACTGCAAACAGTAACTGAGTTTTCAATGGCAAGTTCCAATCACAACTTGTAACTCAGGAGTCTTTACCTATGCCCTCCTTAGGAACTTTCTTTAGCTCCCTTGACCAAAGAGACACAAGCCAGAACTAAGCTAAAATCAACCCTAAACAACAACGTCACAGAGCAGGTAGCAGTAAGCATTACTGCTTAGAACAGATGGTTCCTGATCTTCTAGAAGTCGGCAGCACTCCATCCCTCCTTTAATAAAAAGAGGCAATGATGTTTACAGAACATATTTGGCTATGATTAAGCTATACTTGCTTTTATAGAATATGTAATGTGAATAGTAAAAACTACACTTGATTGCAAATGCAATCTGCATTGTTAGCAATAAGTCCATTTGATTCAGTTTATGTGCTTGAATTTTGAAAATAAACCTTCATCTTCTTCAGATTTAGTTTCATCCCAGCCTGTAGGTTTTGACATGAAGCTATAAAGAACAGCTTTGAGTGTTGTGAGCTGTTACCCACAGGGTCCATGACTGGGGGAGCTGCAACAGAGCTGTGATCAACAACCTGAGAGTCAGAGCTGCAGAGAAAACTGAGAAACAAAGTGCCAAATGAACTCCAAAAACTTTATTCTTCACTTGCCAGTCAAAAGGGAAGAGTCATGGTAGAAATAACCAAAGAACACCAAACTGTTCTGCAGTCTACATACAGAGCTCATCACAACAGGGGTACTGCCTTTAATAGCACTGATGTCACCTAGAGGGAAAAGAAAAGAAAACACTTAGTATATTTGAAGTACAAAAGTTCTAATTAGGAAAAAAGAAAGATCTCTTCAGTTTCCAGGCTTGCCACGCAGCAAGGAAAGCATGGTAACAGCTCCTCTGCAGTTGTGGAGACAAAATAAATCTGAGTAGCACTCTGGGGTTTGGCCAGTTTCTCCCTGCTGGTCACTGACTGCTTTCCAAAAAAGAACAGGGTGAGAAGCCAGTGGAAAAGATCCTTTGCTATTCCTTCCAAGAAAAAAAAAAGAATCCAAATATAATGACAACATGAAAAGAGTAATAAGCCTTCTAACCTATCGTTTATAAGTAGTCTTGGACCAATTTGCATGATTTTACTCATAGATGGAGGAGAAATATCCACACATGCATAATGTTACAAAACCCTCTCTCATATGACACACCCAACTGTGGTAATGCAATCCCCAAAATTGCAAAAAGACAAGTACCCAAAAGTAGTGAAGGGGGAAGCCTGTCTGCGATCACACTGTCTCAGGCTGCTGCCAGAACATTACCTGAGTTTGGCAAACACTTCAAGAACAATCAAGAGGGAAAAGCACAGAGTTCTAGAAGCAAAAGAACTCAGTGTCTTCTGTTCCAACCAGAGCTCAATTTTACATTTCAAACACTTCTACATGGAAAAGAGATCAGATAGTAGAGAATTTTTACTGCCTGTGCTAGCACAAGCATATTCCACAGCTGAAAGTTGGCCATTAGACAAAACAAGCGTTGAAGTAAGATGTCGTTTAATTTTCTAACTGCAGGAATAATTAAACATTGGCAGAGCTTTCAGAAGAGGTGACAAACACACCATGATCTAATGCTAAGATAAGATCAATTTCTAAGAGAGATGTTTTAATTTATCTTTCAGGAAAGCTTCACGGACTGCACATGTGAGGAAATCACACTGGATAACCTCAGTGTTCCATTTTGGCTTTGGGACAGAAAGATCTACAAAGTTTCAAAGACAGATGGAAAAAAAGGAATATTTTTGTCACTCTCAGAAAGTTTGTAGCATTACAATTCCAAGAGACTGTCATTGTTAAATGAATTGATTGTAAGTCAGTTAGCTTGTTCAAAGCTCAGGACATACTTTGTGTCCAAGCAGAAATTACTAAACGTACTGTCTGAGGAACACACAGGATCTCCCTTCTCCAGGCAGGTCAAAATTTACAGCTGGAGGCAGCCCACTGCACTGACTGCCTTACAGAAAAGGCTCTCCAACACAAAACTAAGCTGGACTAAGGAGGTGTTTGGCCTTTCCCTGTACTATGTTTGCACTTTTCCTGCTGGCATCCTCCAAACGTTTTCTATACAACAAACAGACACAGCAGGGAACCGTTCAGGTTTAGCAACATTTCAGTCCAGGTCTTCATGAGCAGCAACTGAGTTAAACTTTATACACAACAAATGGACCATCGACCCTAAAATCCTACCTCTTCAACTGGCAGTTCCTCACCAGAGCCTTAGACTGCTTGTTGAGATTCTGCTACTATTTTCCCATTCATCTCTTATTAACTAACAAAGGCACAAAGTCATGGAATCTACTCAAATCCTTCCCTGGTTACCCACAGCAAGAGTGGGAAGCTTGTCAGAAGTGATGGGGTCTGTTTCTGCTCCCTCACATCTCCAAGCAAGCATCCCTGGGTAGCACTCCCTAGTTCCCTGCATGCCTTTAGAGCAGAAAATGTCATTCAGTGATGCTCAGTGCTCGGTATTCTCTGTTTTTTTCTCTCTGCCTCTCAACCTCCATCCCACAATACTTCAGTTTTCTTCACATCTGTTTTGTCATCCCTCTGCTTTTAGAGGAAGAGAACATTTAGATTTGTGAGGGACACATTAGCTCCCACTCCTCGTGGAAAAAAATAACAAAGACATGCCATACAGACAAGTAAAAGCAAGCATCATGCATTTGCCCCATTCCAGTGTTCTCCTAGACTTTAGCTGATTTCAGGTGTTTTCCTCAGGTGGATCCAGCCTACCTATTAAATAATGTTCAGTCTTAATCACCTCCTTTGCATCTATTACATCCCTTGGGGAAAAAAACTAAAAAGTACACATATTACCTTGAGCATGAAGATCCACCTCTTGCAAAGCCTGAGTCATCACTTGATACCAGAGGATACAGCAAGTTGCTGTTTGCTACCTACCCCCTGCAGACCAACCACGGTCTTGTATAATTCCATCACAAACCTCTTCTAGAAACAGAAGAATCCTTTCTATGAGGACTTTGTCTTCTACCTGAAGAAAAAAATGCTAATAAAAGCAAATCTGACAAATATTGGCTATGATCCATGTCAAATTTTTCACTATAAATATCACTAAAACGAATTATGTCAGCATGATATGGAAACAGCTTAGTGCTTGAAATGTGCCTCTGCATGAGGGGGACTGTCATTCATAAACAACCATCACTTTCACCTCAACTTCCCATTTTTCTCCTTCAATGCAGTGAGCAATCATACAAAGATTAAGCTGATCCTTTACGGAAATCCAAGTGGGCTGTGTTTGACAAAGATGCCCTCACTCAATGAAACTAAAATGTCACAGAGTAAGAAGGACAATTCAGTCATGAATTTATGACTGATGAACAGGAAGTAAGTTGGAGCAATTGGTCTTTTTCCCAAAAAAGAAGGATCACCAGTGGAGTCTCACAAGGATCTCTTCTGGGATCAACACCTTCCATATTTTAAAGCAAAATCTAGCAAAGAAGTTTGACACTTACGTGACAGAGTTTGCTGACAATGCTTAAAGTTATTGAAGATTGCAAAAGCAATGTCCAAAGATCTGAAGAAGACTTAATTCATACAGTTTAAGTGGGCCGTAAAATAGCAGGTAAATGTAAAATGATGCATAGTATTAAAAAAATATGTACACAATGACAAATTCTGAACACGTTATTATCACTTAAAAGAGTGACTGAAGTTATCATAGTTCCACAGAAGAGCCAACTCAATGCTTAAAGATTGTCTAGAAAAAGCACGCAGAAGATTAGAGAATGAAACTTAATATGCCATGTAAGTTTACTGGGTGGCATATGCTGAAATACTGTAGCTGGTCCTGGTTATTGTAACTTGGATTCCTGCATCACTGTCTCAAATCAAGAACACACCTGCAAAAGGTGCAAAGAAGACAGCAAGGACAATGAAAGGGGTAGAGTAACTTCCTTCTGAAATGCCTATGGAAAAGTCACAAGCAAGGGACGGTAAGTAAAAGAAAAAGTCATCAACCCGTAAGACACAGAATAACATGGATTCTCCTTTTCACCTTCTTCCAATACAAGAAGGAACAAGCAAGGCATGAAACCAAGCAGGCAGAAAGTTTAAAAGCAAACAAAAATAAGTGTTTTTTCCACACAAAATGTGTTTAAGCCCTACAACTCAGCCACAGGATGTTGTGGATGCTACAAGCATACATGGCTTCAAACACTAATTGGACAAATTCATAGAAGAAAAAACCCACTGGGGGCTGTAAAAACAAATATCACCTCTGGTTCAGGAAACCTATGAGCCACAAATTACTGGAGGCTGGGAGAGGCATTTCCTCAATATACACTGTACTCTTCTCCAAGCATCTGTTCTTGGCAGCTGGGAGAGGCAGGATACTGGGCGAGAGGGATCTCTAATGTGCCCAAGTACAGTCATTCTTAATTCTTGCATAACGCACGAGAAAGCGCAAACATTAATCGTGTGCAAGTCGGAACTACAAGCAGAGCAAAGGATTTCAGATTTTCAAAGGCCTTAAGGTCAGTACAGTGATTAACTGCTGCAGTCACTGTTTGATAAGGACTTCTTTCAACACTGGAGTAGCTCAGCCTCTCCCAGCCACAAACTTGTGCAAATGTATGGCAAACAAAGAGATGTGAATTTAATCCAGAATGGTTCGCTGCAGCTGTGCACACTGTTGCACTGGCACTGCTAAGAGCACGTTACAGACTTGGGAACAACTGGGCTACTTAAATCAGAAAGGCCCCAAAGGAAATGTTTGTCAAGCTACAATCTGGATCAGTGAAAATGGAGTATTTCACTGTCTTTTGCATCTCAGAAGGCCTTCTTTACCACATGCACACTACCAAGACATTTAAATAAATGCTGAATTATTGGTATTTAAAGACAGAACTGCTGTTTGTCACATTAGTCCAACACACCCATTTATTTGCAGCTGTTTACCACACTTAAAAAACCTTAAATGAAATACAAAAGGGGAGAGGGGATGAGAGCTTCTCCTTAGAAGTTTGGGGAGTATCTCACACACAGCTGAGTAGAAGCTTTCTTAACTTTAGCTGAAAAACTCCTCCTCCATCACACCAAATACCTGCCAGCACACAAAAATCTGTTCTTACAAGTCACTTTAGGTCCTAGTCAGAGTGCCCAAGTTAAACACAAACTGGCACTATTTCCCATTAAAAAGCCTTGTGCATCTCAAAAACCGACACTTCTGAATTTTCAGCCTTCCCTGGTTTGCAGCATTGGGGTTGCTTCTGTGAAACTGCCCAAGTGTTCAATACATTATTCAAGACACAGCATGTTCTGTGTACACGATTTGTAGGTTTCATTCACACTACCAAGAATGGAAATAATTTCCTTCAATTTCCATGTCAATATCGAATACAATACGTCAAAATAGTACAACAAACACGTTGCTGCTACATTTGGTTGCTCTACAAATTTGCCCATTACATGGACAGCTGGGAAGATACTGGGTGACCTCTTCTGATTTTAGATATTTTTTCCCTGAATAAAGATTGTAACATTCCTTAGCTTTTTCAGGAAAGAATAAGAATCAAAAGCAGCAGCCCCTCTTAACCACCTGGCCTAACAGCACTAGAGAATAAAATAATAGGGGTCCTCTCTTCCAGGGCCCAGTCTGACAAATCTGTATTCAAGAGATATCCTCTAGTCAAAGCCAAAATCCAAGGCTCCTGTAATTGAAGGCAATGTAATGCAGCTTTTCTAGGGAAAAAACCTAAGAAATTATTTTTTAAATAGCATTAACCTGTGCATCTGCAACAATGACATAAACTTAAAACACCTTTTTGACAAAGAACCTAGGCTTTCTCTTTGCTCCAAAAAATGGCAAAACAGGACAATGAATTACTGCATCCCAGGAATCTTCATACTTGTGATACCTCCTCCTTCTCTTCAAACAAACAAAAAAATAGCATTAGTTGTCACCTACATTTTTCCACTGCGAAGTGTCACCTCCCATTTTTACGTCTTGTAAAACCAGGACTACAAAACCAAAGTGTTAATAATCCTAAACTTTGGTTTAGCATCTCTCTGTTCTCTCGTCCTTGTAATCCAAAGCACCAATCAATAGATCCTATTTTTGTGAATATGAAAGACATAAAAGTGGACACACTGAACTTACGCACTCTCACATGTAACAAGCCTGTGCATTTTCAAATCTCTGCAAAGGTACGGTGTGTTCCCTAAACAAACCACTTCTGGAATTAAGACCTAAAATGCTGGGAAATGCATCATAATTATCATGGCGATTAGGAGTGACCTACAGAGGGTTACCAGAAAGATGTACTGTGCGATTAGTAACACCAGCCAGCACACGGCACACACCCGATTTCGCTGCATCCTCCCCCGCCTGCCGCGGCACGCCGTTAGACTCCCGGCACCGCGGCTCCCGCAGCACTCACTCACTCACTCACTCACGCCACGCCGCCAGCACCGACACGGACACGCCACCGCTCCCACCCTCCGCTCTTCTGGCGGCATCTACCTGCGGGAGCGCACGGAGCGTGCGAGGATGCTCGCAGGCTGCCGCCGCACCGGGCGGCTCCCGCCCCGCGCCCCGGCCGCTCTCCCCGGCGGAGCGCCGCGGTCCCGGCCCGGGGCGGGCGCGGACCGGCCCCGCCACGCGGGGCGCGTCTCCATAACAACGGCGACCCGCACCCCGCGCCCCGCCTTTACCCGCTCCGGCGCCCCCGCGGCCCGGGCGTCCTCCGGCTCCTTCCTGCCGCCGCCCCCCAGCAGGGCGGCTCTGCGCTCCGCCGCGCTGCCGGACACCGCCCGCCCGGGCTCCCTCCGCGCCGGCGGCGGCGGCGCCGCTTTGTCCCCCCGAGAGCGGCCCTTCCTCATCGCGGCGGCTTCTCCTCCTCCTCCTCCTCAGCGGCGGCACGGCCGGGGCCCCATGGCGGGCGGCGTTCAGGGAGCGCCGGGGCGGCGGGGCGGCCGCGGGCACCTGCGCGCGGGGCGCGCGGGCGCGGACATGCCGCGCGCTCCCGCTCCCGCCGCCTGACAGCGAGCGCGGCCGCCGCGGCGCCGCCCCCCCGGCCGCTATCGCGAGAGCGGCGGGCTCACGGCCGGGGGCGGAGCGAGACGCGTGGGCAGCGGAGCGCGGCGGAGGCTCCGCGGCGGAACAGCCCCTGCGGCCGTGCCTGCGAGGTGTGAGGTCAGGATGCCTCTTGCGGGAGTGAGGGCAGCGTTTGTGTCGCACAGAGTCGGTCTCCCTCCCTGGCGGTGTTCCTGAGCCGCCTGGATGCCATCCCGTGCCTCTGCTTTGGAGCAGATGAGCCGCTCTGTGATGAGCAGATGAACCGTGCTGTGACTCTGCGATTCTACAGTTCTGCCAATGGGTCGGGCTGGACGGGACCACGGTCTGCTCCAACCTCCCGGAGGCTCAAGCAGGGTCGCCCCGGAGCACACGGCACAGGATGGCATCCACACGGCTCTGGAACATCGCCCCAGGGGGAGACTCCACAATCTCCATGGGCAATCTGTGCAAGTGTGTGGTCACCCACAAAGTTCTTCCTCATATTCAGGTAGAACTTTCTGTGCGTCATTCTGTCCCTATGATTCTGATCCGAGATCAGCTCAGATGTCCAGCACGATCCAGCTTCCCTGTCAATAAATTCTTAATTGTCCGTGAAAATCTCAGGTGGGTGCAGGACCTTCCCGGTGGTTTTATACGTAGACAGTCCCATTGGAAAGACGCCACAGAGTTCCTCCAGCAGGACACGGTGGGGCCCAAGCCCCAGACCTACAGTGCCCAGGCGAGTGGAGAATCTCTGGGCATTCCACATCCCTCCACAGGAACTCCGAGCTGCAGGAGAATGTTCACCAGCTGTGCCACTCCACTTCTTAGGGTGGGGATTAAGATATAATTCACCATCTTAGCAGAAAAGACAAACCTTCAGAGATTCATTACCTCAAGGAGTAGTGAGAGAATATCATCATCTTGTGTTTCATCTCAATAGTTCACACCCTCTCGGCATTTTTGTCTTCGCAAATTATTTCTTGAGGGTTTGAGTTATCAGTTTCTGCATTCATTTTTCACAAAAGCAGCTTAGAGGTTTTGGGGTTTTTTCTTCGCTATTACATAGTCAGGAATCTTGTTGCTCCTACAGAAAAAATAACTCATTTATCCATTTTACCAAGCTAAAAGGCTCATACATCTTCAACCAGGAAATCTACTTGTATAAACTTTTTATTCATTTTGTACAAAGACAACAAAAATACAATTCCCAACGATTTATTGAGGTAGAAGAGTGGGAGCATTTTTAAGTAATTACTAATGTTTAAATGCTTGCTGAAAAGTATTACAGGATGCTGGATTAGTCAAAGAGGTCTTTTTCCACCATAGTTGTATATGATGAGGATGGACAACCATGTGGAACTTCCCAGCTGGGAATCCTGCTCTAACTAAATGTAAATAATGCAAATTTATGGAATCTTGGCGTCCTTGTTAATGTGAGTCTATTAGGATGGCACAGTGCCTCATCATAATTTGGCTGGATCTTTGCCCTCTTGCAGCACAGATGCCAATTAGTTATTTGATGGTTATGGCCTGTGGGACACCTTGCTCTGGCTCACACCTGTTTGCTTCATGTGCCAGAAAGGAATGCATGCACACAGGAAGAAAAGTCACAATGAGGATGTGTATAACATTACCTGTCTAACATATTAAACAAATAAATATGTTAGAAACAAATCTTCAGTAGTTCGTTTTAGACAGAATTGCAAATAATTGCCTTCTGGTTCTGTATTTTAAATTAAAAATTAAAAATATCTTTCATTTCTCCGAATCAAAAAGCCATTTGAGAGTTAATAGGACATTTTATTTGTGAAGAGATTGTGTTTGGTTTGCTTCTGGCTCATTTCCTTCCCCATTTAGTATTTTGGACTCAAAATGTCTTTCCAATATTTTTGAAACAAAAGAACACTGAGGTTTCATATTAGCAGAATAGGAAAAATACTCCTCATTTTACTGATTCTTCCATATTTTTTTCCATTTAAACATATGACCTGAATCTGCAGACCAGTCTGAGTGACCTGATTTTTCTTTTCCATATGAGCTAGTTTTCTGAATTTTTTTTTTCCAGTTTTAAATAAAAGTGAACGAATCATGAGAGGCTTGGCAGGGAAAAGGAGTACAGATTAATGAGGCAGAGCATGGTGTGGTGCTACATCTATGTTCATGATGTTTGTCTCCAGAAATCTTCTGTCATTTTAAAGACAGAAAAGTAATTAATAAAGGCTTATAAAGGGCATGATTCTTAGGTTATCTACAGTGACTAACACAGAGCAGGGCACCAGAGTCTGTGTAGCTTGTGTGTTGACACTCAGCTAATGCAGTTTCTCTTTGCATTTCCAGATATTTCCTTTCCCTGGCTTCCACCCTGTTTTTTTCCCAGATAAAAAAAGGTCTCAGCATGCTCTTCTGATGCAGAAGGTAGCTGGAATGATACTGTCAGGAAAAGTTCCCTTCCATTTTTCTCTGGCTGGTTTAAAGGGACTTTGGTAAGGCAGAACACAGTCTACTCTAACTCACTCCATATTTTCTGGAATGACAAATTCCTCTGCAACATTTTTATGACTGCTTAGCACACAGCTATGGCAGTAATTCCTGGAGCTGGAAGAGAGATATGCAGACTGAAGCTGTGAGGTTAAAACCTCTTTAATCCAAACAGAATAGAAAATGCTAAATAGTAGAAGTAATTCTGCTGAGCAAGAGAAGTTCCTCTTCAAAATGAAATACTTAATCATTTGAATCCCTATTAAATTTGACCATTTGGCAAAATCAGTGCCACACATAGCCCAGCTGATCACCTGCTTCCACTGTTTCCAAGGCAGAACTGCATCACTAATGCCATCAAGCGAGTCTATCACTGCATCCTGTCATTTGTCATTCCACTCACACTGTACACACAGCCTTCCCTCTCAGTATTTGTGCTCTGTACGAGACAGAGGAAATGGCTTCAGTTGTTCTGCATGTGAATCTGTCACGCACCTTCTGTTAGTGACCCAGTTCTAATGGTATTCACAGACAAGTTCTGGGCTTACACTGGAATACTAATGTTTGGCAATTGGCAATGTGCAGTCAGGCAGGAGGAAGGCACAGGACTGTGGCATGTGGCGCTGTACCTGCACAGAATGTCAGTAATGACAAGTAATTAACAGGCTGCACATCATCACCCTGACTCCTGCCTGTTTCCTCAACTCCATGCATGTGACAGCATTCTTTCTTCAAGATTCACCAAAAAAAAAAAAAAAAAAAAAAAAAAATTAAAAAAAAGGGCATGATACAACTAGAGAATACCAGTTACAAGCAAAATTAAAAATACAGGTAACAAAGTCCCATGGAGCCAGCAAGATGTGCTGGGCAAAGCTTTGACTGAGACTAACCCATTACTCTTTATAGAATGAAGAATTCTTTTGTCAGCAAATTCAAAATCCCTATCCCAGACCTGCCAGGCTGGCAATGCATGCTGCCTGCATAGCACAGGAGTGCAGCCACAGAATACATCTCCCCATCACCACCCCCAAGCTCCAGGGAAATGGTGAGAAACAAAGGATTTTCCAACAGAACACAGGAGAATTAGTAAGTCTGGGACCTTGACACAATCTAGAGAAAATTTCTTGTCATCTGGATCTAGTGAGGTCTGGTGTTTGAGAATCACAGAATATTTTGGGTTGGAAGGGACCCACAAGATCATCAAGTCCAGCTCTTAAGTGAATGGCCCACACGGGGATTTAACCCACAACCTTGGTGTTACCAGCACCATGCTCTGACCAGCTGAACTCATCCCAGGGCCAAAAAGGTCCATTTTAGACATTTGTGTAATTAATAAAAATACTCATAGTCACATGAGGACTTTTTACAGGAAGGCTTTAAACAGTCATGCTTCAAGGCACAAACTAAACATTGACTTAAGGAGGATTAGGAAGAACTTTCTTACTAGCAGTTTTTTTTCCATTCAAATATACTATACCATATATTTTTCCAGTGCATCTTCACTGGAAACTACTACTATAAGTCTGTTTTAGGGACAAACTAATGAAGTAAACCAATAGACATATGAATGGCTATTACTAGATCTAGATATAACAAAATTCCAGTCATAACTGGATATTATTTGCTTTCCAGTAGTTATTTTTCTTCTTTGTATACCATGAAGGACATGTATCCTTGTTTGTAGTGATGCAGTATGTCAAAATGACAGCTTTGCACTGCTCTAATCTTGTTCTAGGTGTCATATTTAAATCTGATAAGGAAGTGGAAGATAAAAATATGAAAACATGTAGTAGAAGTTAGAAATTACGGTTGTGAAGTATCAGGAGAGCTTAGTGCAATAGCTGAGTTAACAGCACTTCTTAGCTACAAAAGCTCATCAAACACATTGTAGCTTTAAATTGAGGAAGAGACCAGTGAATGTGTTACTGCTCTCTGTCAGTTTGGGCTTGGCTGTACAGCAATTGCTACAATAGGGCTGCTACCCCTGTGTGTGAACAGAGGACAAATTACATAGCACAAAAACACGTATATTTGTGTGTATTTCTGAAAGGTCCAAAAAGAGAAGCACATTAGGAAGCGGGAGAGATTGGCCAGCAGGAGTAGATTCAGATCCTAACTGTTGTCACCCTCTCTTTGGCACCCGAAGAAAGATGAGATTTAAGAAGG